TAACTCGATTGATAAGTATCTAAAAATGTGAAGCAATTAAATCGATTAAACATATTATTGGCGTATAAGAGGAGACATCAATTAAAAGTCAGATCTGATTAAATGATTTCATTGAATAGTAATCACTAAAAACTATATACTTGTAAAGTGTTTACGGAATTTTTAGTTTTTAAAATCATTTCAAAACCCATAAAATAAAAGTTAATTCAATTAAAAACATGTTTATGTTATTCTTACGAGTGATAAAATATTTATCATGATTTAAGTGAATATTATATATATTAAAAGAAATAATAGTTATTAAATCAATTAATCTGTTAATAATTGAATATATTTTAAAACGATTTTATTTTATAATAATTTTTGTTGTGAAGCATAGAATAAAATCTGATTTTGATTTGAAAATTAAATGATTGCATTTTTTTGGTGAAGTAATGAAAAAATAATAAGCGCTTGTGTTATAGATCTGTGTTTTAAAAGGCAAAGCGTCAAACATTTTGGTTGCAAAATGCTATTAATCATGAAATAGTAGTTTAATTTATCATTCACTCTAAAACTGTTTATTGAATACATTTTATATACAATTAATTACAACAGAAAATTAATTTAAATTTAAAATATAAATATATATTTTTAAAAAACTAAAGGTTTAATCACTCATACGCTCGGAGAATGGTTTATAGAATTAAATAATATATTATATATTATTATTTATATTATATTTAATAACAATTATGGCTATTATTATAATAAATTAGAAGAATTACTATATAATTGTTTGCAATAATTGATTTGTTGATTAACTCTATCTATTCTATCGTAAAGTATTTGCCAGTTATGGGTGGGAAGGAAGGGAAGGGATCGGTAGGCCTTCTCGTCCAAAACGTTTTGCTTAAATAGAGATTTCATTAAATAAATAATATTTCTGTTTCTATACAATTGTTGGACACGTTTGGCGGTTGTCTCGCGAAATATACACAACGCCCTCAACACTGACCAGTGCTGGCGCTCATACTTGTCGAGGAGACGATAGCCGTGCAAAAGACCGGATTCATTGTCTATGAATACCAATAATCCACTGCTTCTCACTTTGAGAAGATTGTGGACCGGATTTGTCATCATTTCTCGGTTCCACTTCTCATTCACCATATTATTCACAAATCGGTCCAAATTAGCCGTCAAATAGTCAAACACTATGAGATCCGACCACTGGACCAGTTCTGTCAGTTGTGTCACATTTAAGGCGCCGATATCTTCGGCCACAGGATGTAAGCGTCTGTTAGCGCTGGACAACTGGTGAGGTATATATGCGGGCACTAAATCACTCACATATTGAGTCAATACAATGGGTTTAGCGTCGGCCCAACGGGACGACTGAATCTGTTTGGACACACGTTTCCATTGAGTATCCAATGGATGTGCTTTGGGTGCGGAGACCACGTCGGCGGTGGTCGGCGCCACGTTAGAGATGCCCAACACTCGGGCCAAATAGAAACTGAATATTTCTCCCTGTATTTGGTCGACGTTAGGCCGGTATCGGACGCACGACTTTTGTCCGGCACTGAGTGTTATGAGACGGTTCTGTTGACGACCGCATCCGTCGACCATTTCGATCACATCTGAAGTGTTGATGAGTTGCGCGAAGCGATTGTCATCGATGGCAGAGAAGCCGAAAGGAGTGACACTTTCTAATTGTTTGCTCCAATAAATGCCTTTTGAGATGATATTGAATGTATAGTCGGAGTCGAAACAAATGCATAAAAGCAGCGAAAGTATAGGTATTAGTGTTAGAGAAGGCATAATATAATTATGATTCGCACTCCGAAGACAAGCCAATTGAAAGCCCTGTGTATTTCACTCGCTTCTAATGGCTTGGGGTGTATTGAGTGCAACAAATTATCCTAAATTACAGGTTAACAACAAAATACTATTATTTAACCGCAGATGAATAGTGTTCACTGACAGGCAAAACATTGCCACCACTTTTAATGTAATGTTTGTTATCAATCGATTTAGCATTCATTACATTCAAAACTATTAAAATAAAGTGTTTTTCTCTCAAAACTTTTTTTGTTATCTCTTAAACACAACACAAAAACGCAACACTTTTACAGACTATTCTCGACGGTCTGTTGCGGTCACACACTCTATATTAGCTGTTTGTGCCCTTCAATACACTATACCATCCAAACCAACTCTTATCCAACCATCACTTCTACGCAAGACTACTCTCTCTCTCTCTCTCTCTCTCTCTCTCTTACCTCTGCAAGTGATCAAACAAGTAGTTGTGCTCCAGTCCTACCATTCCTAACATCACTCCTTATACAGCACAANGTCTGTGTTGTGAAGTGTATTCTAGTGTTGACTCTCTCTCTCTCTCTCTCCCTGATCGGAGTTGAAGACCAAGGTATGAGGTATGCTGTGCTAAAGTATAGTATATTGTAGTGGATATTCTAGTGGTGTTGTGCTGTATAAGGAGTGATGTTAGGAATGGTAGGACTGGAGCACAACTACTTGTTTGATCACTTGCAGAGGTAAGAGAGACATGAAACACATGCAAAACGTGAATACACTACTGAAAGCTAAAGGCCATACCATCGGAACCATAGGAGAGCCCCAACAATAATAAGCTTTGAGTTAAATTTTGTTGCTTACAAAGTATGCTCAGAGGGAGTGATCATTGCTTTAAACTAAAGTATTTGACTTTGACTTTGAAGCCAATCTTACCGTTTATAAGACATACAGCTCTCACAACGAGAGACCCAAAACACTGCCGGAGAGAGAGAGAGAGAGAGAGAGTCAACACTAGAATACACTTCACAACACAGACCCTCGCTTTTACTCAACAATTCTATATATCTCTCAAAATTTTTAGTACTTTTTAGTGTATAATAAACTTTTTTGTTGTGTCTTTTCTTGGAATTCAAATATTAATATATAATTTCAATTTCTTTATTCACAGCCATTTCTTTGAATCTTTTAATTATATTCAATGCTATAATGAATTGAGCTTTTATTTAAAGGAACATAAATTGATTTGAAAATACATGGAATGTATGAAATAATTAACAAGAATGAGATAAAAAATATTTATAAACTTTCGATACGAGAGAGAGAGAGAGAGAGAGAGAGAGAGAGAGAGAGAGANCAAAGAAAATTATGAATCATATTAATAATTAATTGTTAGAGAGAGAGAGAGAGAGAGAGAGAGATGAAGTAATTAAATAAGAAAGCCGTTTATTTATATAATTATGTAATTAATTAAAATGTTAATGAAATTCTACATTTGTTTTAAAAGAAATATTTGGTTTCTTTTGGTTTAAACCTCGTCTTCGGATGAATTAATCGCTGAATATTTGTAATCATTAATAGAATTAGTATTGCATTCAATGGCAGCAAAATCTTTCATTTTTGTCTCTTTTAAGAAATTCTTGTAATCGATTTGTGAATAAGTATTAATCAAATGATCACTTGAATAGAAGTTGTTGTTTATAAGAATTGACCGATACTTATAATAAACACAAATTCCAATGAAAGTCATCAACAATATTATTGCCAGAATTTCCATACAAAACAATGTCTAAAATATTATTGTTTAATTTTTGTTAGTTTTTTATTAAGATTTATATTTTCTATTATTTAATCAAACTTACGGTTAAAAGCATTTGTTTTGAGTGACTTTCTTCTGGCGGACCGCTTGAGAACGGAGGATATAATATAAACCCAACCTAATAAGAAAATTTACTGTGTTGTATAATAAATATTGGTGTAAATATGCACCTTGATAGATTTACTACAGCACATAATATAATATTATGATCTAGAATCTATACTGTATATGTCTAAAAAAAGATTATAGAAATTCTACAGTATATTCACACTAATTGAAAATATGTATAATTGCATTCATTTTACATGAAATTTCACATATCATAGAATTTAAAACAGAAACAGATACTGTATTTAAATTGAAAGGCAAAAACATATTAATATATAGTATATAACGGACCGAACAAAACCAAAATCCCTGAATGAGTGCACATAACGCTCGGGAAAATGCGGATAACATGTGATCCCTATATTTGCATTCAATAGCGACCGAAACAACTGATGCAATGACTGACACAATGAGGAGAGTGTGGACGTGAACGTCAATTGGTGTCCTTTCAAACAATGTCATTATAATTAGTCTTTAATTCACAATTAATTACTCAAACCTTCCGTGAAGATGGAAAGTGAAGAGAAGCGCCTCAACCATCGCTGCCATCAGAAGAGACATATAATCGGAACCGTTTGGCAGCGGATATCCATAATAAACCAATAGATCGACAATACCTT